TTTATCAGACGATTTGAAAGGAAATGACTTAATTAATATTGAACAAGAAAGGAAGCTACCTTCGGCCAGCCGAAGCTTATATACCCTTGTAGATAAAAGAATACTCACTCGGTGCAGTTCCAGGGATTCCAGATTCAGCGTTTCGATTTATTTCAATTTTGTTTTTAAGTAGTCAAGAATCAAAACGCCTACTTCCTACAAAGTTACAATGAATTTTCTTATATTTGTTTGGGAGCCTTAAGATATAGTGGTCCGATCCGGCTGGCTCCGACATATGTACTACCTGCAATAGAAAGAAGACCTTCGGGAAAGTTTCATCGCGATAGCTTTAAAACTGAGAGACTAGTTCGCATAGAAACGGACAGACGGACAGACGGACAGACGGACATGGCTAGATAGACTCGGCTATTGGTGCTGATCAAGAATATATATACTTTATGTGGTCGGAAACGTCTCCTTCACTGCGTTGCAAACATCTGACTGAAATTATAATACCCTCTACAAGGGTATAAAAATGTTGGGAACTTTATTGGGTGGAGTGATGATGAAATAGTAAGGATGACCACCCCTTGAAGATTTTAGCTGGGTAGACAAAATTTCAGACTTCTTAGGTATTGCTAAATGAATTTTGTACTAAACATTTCCTATTTTTATTTGGACACTTTTAATTTAGAAAAGTTGTTTAAATTTTATTATATAGCTGTAACAAAAGTTACTGAGGCATTTCGTTAAACTTGAGTCAGTGGGTCCAAGAAATTAGATTAAGTTTTAATTACCTAAACGATTTATGGATCCCCAAGGTGCTTTCCTGTTCTATTAAAATTCTTTAAACGTCCTTATATTCTTTTCTTATCCTTAACTATTCGTGGTTATATTTTTCTGCTTACTTGCGGGACATATGCTATTGTATTCCTCCGCCTTTGTGGATATTCCCCAGACATATGCTCTCTAGCTTGGACCATAGATGGTATTTCCTGACCCTCCTGCCGCATCCCCGCCCCACTGCAGCCCCTTTTCGCGCCCTCCACTGTGTTGGCACTTGCGAGTGCGTTTTTTATGCCATCTTAAGGCCACTTTATGCGCTTTTTATGAGTCCGCAGCATCATAAAAAAAATTCTTTTCCCACTCATACACACAAATAGTTATGCTTTTGTGTGAACTGGCAAGCGCACACACAGCCATTTATGATTTTTTCCACTCGCTTATATATTTTTATATTTATTGATTTTGTATTAAAAATGTAAGTGCGGGCTTTTAGTTTGGTTCTTTTCTCCACCCAGGATGGTGTAAAGTTTTTTATGATATTGAAATAAAGCGATACACATTCAATAAATATAAATAAATAACGTTAAACAGAACGAAAGGTTTCCAGAACTGCATTCTAAAAGGAACGTGGCGGCAAGGGAATATATTGAGTGGGGAATAAAAAGGTTAAATAAAATAATTTTAGTGCAAATATGAAGAGGATGGCATTTGGTTAAGAGCTTGCTGTTGAGCTTCGAGTATACGATATATTCATGATACCGTTTAAAATAAGGAAACTTTGTACTTTTCTTTTCATTTTTTTTTCGAATATTTTCTGCACTTTTAGTTATTTTTTACAAATGTTTTTCTCAGTTGCTTATAATTTTATTTGCAAGGGTATCTTGTCTTCGTGATGAACTTCTAAAGCTTTCATTTTTGTTTTTCTTTCTGAGTGTAACATTGCCAAAGGGTAAAAGCAAAAATATATGATGATATATATTTACAAACAGGCGACGATTGCGACTCGATTATTTACAATTTGATTTTATTTTTACAGCCATTGACAAACAGGGGGGAAAAACTCGGTGATATGTGTGTGTGTCTGCCCGAAAGGCATTTCCCGGCGCAGTGAGAAAAATCAATCAAAATCGATTTAAAAGCACAACTTCCGTTGCGGATTTACCAATGTCCGTCTGTGCGTGTGTTTGCCATTGGGCTTGTGGGTGTGTGTATTGTGAAAATGTTACCAATTTATTTGTTTTTATGCCCTCGTGTGTGTTTTATTGCCTCAGCTTTTGTTGCTGTCATTGTCGCTTTGTTGCCTTCATCCGAGTCCATTTCCCCTTTACCCATTTTCCCCAAACCGAAAAAAGGGGAATCACTTTGCATGCGTCCGTCTTCTGCTTTCACACACATATTTGGTCAATTTTCAATAACGAAATGGAGGCACACACACCGTCACACCCGCACCCTCACATAAGCAGGCACTGAACGCATTTACAATTGGATTTTTGTGTTTTTTAAGGGCAAAGGATTTGCTTGGGGACTGGAAGGCCGAACAATAAAAGAGTGGAAATGGCATAAATACGTAATTCAGGACATTTGAATATTTCATAAGGACATGACCCACATACAAAATAAAACACACAAAAATTATTACAATTCTCTGGTGCCCACACATATTGGAAAATGCGTGTGCGTGTGTGTGTGTCGGAAAATCCTGCTTCAGGGTGAAGGAAATTTGCTTTTATTGCTGATAGTTTGCATTGTAATTGAGTGGGAACAGTGCAGGAATATGTAGGAAAAGAGAGGGGTTGAAAAAGAGTCTGTGCAGCATGAATTGTGGATTTTGTGAATTACTGGAATATGAATGTGGGAGTTTTCGGTATTCAAATTACTTGTTGGCCCAGATGAAAGTGTGACTCGAGGAAATCACTTGAGGATAATAACTTCTGAATAGCAAATTTTAATTGAGTTTGACAGGGAAAGATGCGGCAAACGATGTCTTACTGAAGGATTGGAAGTCACTTAAAAGGCAATTATTATGTAAATATTTAAGATATTATTTCGAATAAACTTTATTGAAACTTTATTGAACACTTTTGATTTCTGTTTTATAAATTAAAAATAAATACTTATCACTTAAAAAAAACACCTATTGACTTGGAAAATGTTTTAAGCTTTAAGAAACGTGTCACATTACAAGAGCTTCAAAGAGAAATCCCAAAACGATAAACATCGATGATTACATACCCAAGTAAGTGACAGCTTTCACTTTTCCAAATATATCACATTGCAAGCAGAACCAATAAATCACAGGATGTCCATAAGTCACACCTTCCCACATTCATTTCCCCTTGACTTCGATTAAGTTGACACCGAACCCGATATGCCCCGACCTTCAGGCCGAGATATGTAATAGATAGGAATCGCAGTTGGCCAATTACTGCCCATCCCCATCTCGCACGCAATCCTGCACCACCTGAACCACCGGCACAATCGCACCACCCGAATCGTCGGCTGACATTTGGCATCACTTGAGTGCGCGGCCACCTGACAAATACCTCGGATATCATTCACGCCGGGAATCGGAATCATTCACTCATATCGCCAGCCACTGATTGGCATTGACAGACGTCGACGCAGACGCGTCGCCGGGCAACTGCAATTTTGTATCTTGATAAATTACTTATGACTGGCCCAGACATTGATGAGTACTCGGTGCTCAGTTTTCGGTGGGGGGAGGCCTCGGGCACGCAGCACAAATCACTAAGTGCGCACCTGAAAACATTTAACGATAAGCAAACAACGCGCGAAATGGGCGGAAAGCGTTGGGGCCTGAAGGATACCCATTAAATAAAATGTAAAATAAAATATAATTTTAATAGTATTGTAATTTTTATATTCCTAGTAATTTAAATCCAGAAAAAAATATTTTGAATGTTATAAGATTTTACCGAACATAAATATTGAAGTATATATACTTTAACTTTTTTAAAAATCCTTTTTAAATGGTGTGATAGTATCATAAAAATTAAATATCGTTTTGAGGCCATGAAGAAAATCTCGATACGTTTCACAAAGAATCACTCATATAAAGAATTTTAATAAAATCTTTAATATAGTACAGTGGACTTTGTTTTTATTACATTCTGGATAAACATTTTTTAGAGCTTTTCGAGGGTATTAATTAATTTTTAATGTTATATAATACCCGATTTAATAATAATCAACGGTTATGCTCTTAAGTTCTATAATTTTTGTGAAAATAAACAATCACCAGAGTGCGAAATAAAAAATATTGTTTAGAACATAAGGCGAAAAGTGTTGGACTGTGGGTGTTGACAAAAAAAGGGTGCAACGGAGAGTATACCGAAATGAATTAGTAATAATATTTGCTTGTTTGCCTGTGTACTGCTCCCCCCCCCACCCCCCCTTGCACATTTCGCGTTCTTTATTTTTTTCGCAAAACTTTTTCTCTTTTTCGCCATACTTATAACGATTTCGAAGCTGTTTCAGTGTTTTGGCAGCCAACAAAGGCGACATCGAAATGGGTTGCCGAGCGCTGCGAAGGGGGCTGAAAAGTGGGGAAATCGATGAGACGACAACTGGTGATGGAGGTTTGGATATATACTTATAGAGGTACAGACGTGGTGGAGGCGTCGCCGACGGCGTCGGTGGGACAGTTAATGGCGACAACGGCGGCGCACGTCTGGGTCTGGAAGCCCCGACTTTGGCGACGGCGATGCGATCCGTTGATGGTAATGGTGGCTCTGACTCTGGTGACGGTGTCGTCGACCAGACGAAATCCCGCCAGCAGGCAGTGTCGGAGAAAAATAGTGGCACACACACATCCAGACAGACTCCTTCGAAATGACAGAGGACCGAAAAAATAAACCAGGACGAGGGATCGTGGGAGGGGAGTGAAAATGTCCACCCCCCCATTCAGTTGAGTAAATCAAACCAATTTCAAAACTCAACTAACCAAGCAGACAATAACAAATCACGTCCAACGAAAAGAGGATGTGATGGATGAACCATTTGCTTAATGTTCTTAAGACTCTAAACGAAGGGAAATGTTCTATTAACTTGTTATTTCGCTACAGAATGCGATTAAAATTTAAAATTTAGTCACGCTTAAGGGTAAATATAGAATTTATAAAAAATAAATTTCTTTAACTTTTATTTAATATGGGTAAAGCGAGTTTTAATATTTTTTGTTTTGAAAAATAAGGATTGTTAAAAAATATTTGATTTATTTTAAAATTTGTAGATATGCTTAGTAAAATTAATCGTGTATTATTTTTTAAATAATGCATTTGAAAAAGTTAAACAAATTTTAAAATATCTATTTGCCAAATATATTTTTATTCCTGCTTTTGGCAGGTAAAATTAAATTATTCCAGACAATGCACCAATACTCCAAAAGTTTAATTAGAAAATCAAACATTGCATTGAACGACAAATAAATGGGGAAGTTTTTTTAGCAGTCGATGTCAACCTCCGTCAAAAGCAATTTTTTTATGAATTCAATCAATGAAAACATAACTGGCTCTTCATCCCTTTATTGCAAATATATATCAGCCAGACAAATCAAAATTACTTTCGGTTAGAGGTTTGGGCTTTCATCCAGAATCCCGTCAAATGGAGCGGGTGAGATTCTTAATAACGACTTCCGAGGGGCGCTTAAACTGTTTGCTCTTGCCTCGTTGATTGTGTTTTTCTGCATTTGTTTGTTGATGTTTCTGATTCAGAATCGGCTGCCGCCGATGCACACGCGCCCACAGTAAACACACTTGAAAAGCGATTCAGTCAACAGTTCAGCTCGGAAGACGACGGCCCCCAAAAAAAAGACAAGTCTGACAAGGGGGTACATTCCACCCAGACAAGCTACCCAACCACCCACTGTTGTCCTTGGGTAAACACGCAATTTTCCACTGTTTCGACCGCTGCACGTGCTGAAGAGCGGCAAGAACAATGGCAACAATCAGTCAATAAGTAAAATTAAAATAATAACAAATTTCTGAAAGAAGCACCAGTCAAATATAATCAACGCAATGGGGAAAGATTAAATCGAGAGCGAGGGAACAAGGGAATTTCATTCAATGGAAAACAATTTTCCATTTAACTCATAAAAATTATTTCGTAGCCGAATTTGTTTAGAGATGCGATTCGATTTTGGGATATTAAGTAAAAGTAATGTGTGTGTGCGGGTTTTGTGTGTAGGAATTTGGCTCCGATTGTTTGTTTACAATGCCGGCAACAAGTTGATGGCTATTGAGTGGGAGAGAATAAATATGTTTAATGATTGTTTTTATAATTCTTTCCTGAAGCCAAAAAATTGCGCAATTCCCTCAATGGAAAATGCCCAAAAGAAAACAACGGGGCAACGAAAATATTCACTTCCTCTTTGATAAATCAATACCGAAAATCAAACCTATCATATCGGCTATAGCCAGCGAGCAACAAATTGCTCACTTCTCTGGGTGTGTATATAAAGTTCTTTCTTTGTCTTCATTGTGTAAATGTTCAAGGAAATCGAAAAGGACCCAGTCTGTCTTTTATCCTTTTCTTCGGCACTCCATTTCCCCCGCTCCAAGTCCCAAAAAAAAGAAAATAAGAAAAGAAAAGAAAAGCTGAAAATGTTTTGCCCACTCTCTGCTGGCCCTAATCAAGTAACCCGAACACGTTCTTTGTTAGATTTATATGGAAAATATATTTTTATACATGCAACCCAATGAATCCCGACATAAAAACCTCCCGCCCACCCACTTTCCACCACCGCCCGCTGTGAGAAAGCTGGCTCCTTGGGGGTGGCTAGACTTTCCCGGCTAGTCAAAAGTGATATTTTACATATTTTCCGACAGTTTTTCCTTTATTTCCACCCCCTCCCCACTGTCCCTTCTTGGCTGCTCCTTTTTTTTGCCGAGCTTTGCTTGCATTTTATTACTTAACGCTTAAGTGTGCTTCTTAGGAGGGAAAATGGTGGGTTTTCTCCTCGCCGAGTTTTCTGTTTTAAATTGAAAAGTTGTAAAAGGATTTCTTGGGTTGCTCCTTTGTTTTCTCTCCTAGAGTTTGGCAAATTAAACACTTTTTTTTTGGAAATGATCAAACAGAAAACTTTTATTTAACAAATACGGTGGAATGAGGCAATAACAGAGAATGAATGTGAAATGGAACAATGGGTGGGTGAGTGAAAACTATGAAATCAGGGGTTATCACAATTACCAGCTGCTGCCGCCGCCCTGGGGAGCCCAGCCTCCGCTGGAGGCGCCACCCGAGGACCAGCCGCCACTGGAAGCTCCGCCGGAAGACCAGCCACCGCTGGAAGATCCACCACCGTAGCCACCGCCGGGTGCACCACCCGAGGACCAACCACCGGAGTCGCCGGCTCCCGAGTCCGATTCTGAGATGATTTTGATGATCTTCACGGCAGTGGGGGCCTCAGCACCACCTCCTCCAGAGGACCAACCGCCGCTGGAAGCTCCGCCCGAGGACCAACCACCGCTGGAAGCTCCACCGGAAGACCAGCCACCGCTGGATGCACCACCATAGCCTCCCGAAGAACCTCCGTAGCCGCCGCCTCCATGACCTCCAGACGAAGCCTGCTGCGAGATGATCTTGATGATTTTGATCTCCTGGGCACCGCCGCCATGACCGCCACCACCGCCAGCAGACCAGCCACCAGCGCCTCCTCCTCCAGATTGCCAGCCTCCTGCGCCGCCGGATGGAGCAGATTCGTGAATCACTTTGATGACCTTGACGGGCGGCGAGCCTCCACCGCCATGGTGATCTGAACCGTGATCAGAGCCACCGCCGCCATAGCTGTAGCCACCACCAGCATCTCCGCCGCCATGGGAGGATCCACCGTAGCCACCGTGGGAAGAGCCACCACCACCGTAGCCTCCACCACCGCCACCGCCGCCTCCTCCAATGAATCCTGCTTGAGCCACAGCGGCCACAGCCAGCAAACAGACGAAGATTTTCATGTTGACCTGATGGAGATGAGCCAAAGCGTCGAACTGATGTCTCTGCCAGATCGTGGTTACACTTTTATAGAGCCAACCACCACGATTCGAGGCGGCCTTGTCCGGAAGCACCACGCAAGTGGTGCAGTGCACTGCGAACCACTGCGGACACCCCCGGGCCAGTTAACAGTATTAACACAGGCTCGAGTGGCTCCGGCGAAAGCATCGGTGGGCTGATGTCGAAAGACTCTCCCCTAACCGCAATTGAAGGCTACATTTGCTGATCGAATCAGTTGGCAAATGGCTTTAATAAGTGACCGAAATACGCTTTCCTTTGGGGGCAACATGTAATTAAATGATAACTTACTTATTATGAATTTCATTTTACTAAGAGATAGCTGGAGCTGGTGTTCTCTTTATATATATAATTTAAAGGAGCTAAATATATATTTAAAAAATCTAATTATAATTTTGATGACAGTAACTTCATTAGTTTTCATTATTTTAAAGTATTTGGACAACTCTAAATAAATATTCAAATAAACATACTAAAAATGATTTTCAAAATTGGTTTTGTAAAATTCTTTGATAAATCTAGAAAATATAACAAAGCAATTAATATTTCTTTTCTTTTGCTCCAGACTTAGCATATCTAGTAGAGTATCTCATCAGCGACTTTAATCAACATTTGTTATACTTTCTCGTGATTTGTTTGGATTATGTAATCAAATACACAGCCAACAAACAAATAAGCGAGCAGGCAGCCAACATTATTTTTGGCGCTTCAAGCGCACTTGAATGAAGTTTTTCCCCCTGATCGCACAAACATCTGTCCGTGGCACTCGCGCCGATCCCCTTTCCGCCGATCGAAGCCGTGATTAATGAGTGCGGAGTTCAAAACGCAGGTGATCGAGCCCAGGTGAGAGGACAAGTCGACGGGCAGGCGAGGTTCGTGCGCTTTCAACTGTCCCTGACATCGATTTCTGGGCTACCGCTTGGAGTTGTTACGCATGCGATTCAGATGGGGTCACTTGCCAAATACACGCAAAGAAACAATTAGAATTGGTCAGCAAAAAATAAAATTTAACAAAAAATACTTATTCATGCCATTTATTTAAATCAATTTATTTAATTTATTTGATTTTTGGTTGTTAAAGAGGTGTTTTTATTAGAAAATCCATTTAACTTTTCTTTTAAATCAAAGATTAGTATGATCCAAAAAGTTTTCTTAACATGGCCTTAAGCTTATTTTAGTCAGTAATTAAAAGCTTATTTTTTCTGCTTTTTCCCGGTGCATTGTCTCCTGTTTTTTGACCGCCATGCCAGACTCTACCCGTTCATTCATCCGTTCCAGCACCTTTGCATCCATTCATCGATCATCTGGCTGGGGGCAACAGTTCTCAATGAGACGTCAAGTTCTCATTAAGACGAGAGCCGCATGCAAATGCCAGATCAATTAATCAATTTGTTTTGCCAATAAATACGACTAAATATGGCCAACGATCTCTGCCAATAATGATAAATGGTTTCACCAGCTTGGTTTTTCTGCTTTTGCAGTCCATTTGGCTTTATGTTATTTTATCTCTTTACATTTTCACTCGGCCAAATGAATTCAATTAGGCAAAAATAAAAAAAATGGTCAAAAATTAACGTGGGAATATTTTTTGGCCACGCATGACAAATATGTCAAACAACATCAGGCCCCGCGAAATCCCCTTCTATGTGACTAAATAGACTACGCATGCAATGTATTGCCAGTTTTATACTCTTATTTTTGCTTAAGGCGGAAAAGACAGGCTTGAATGGGAGATAAATTAAAAGTCATTTATTTGTAAACAGTTATAACTCTATTGGGGGCCAGATATATTTGAATGACAAGTGGATATTCAGGAATCTAAATTAATGGAGTTCCTTTTATTCAAAAGAGTGATTGAATATGAATATTCAAATTAATACAAATAAATATAAGAGTAATGATATAGTAAAAAAAATATGAAGATTTGATAAACGGATAAGAATATTTATACCAAAATAAAATCGTTCTTAATTGATCCTTTTTTCTAAAGTTTCAAGTTGAACCCCTGGGAAAGTTGCTTAGGGTTAAAATGGCGAGCTTTTCCCTCGCCCTTCTCTTATGTCACATTTAGCAGGTCTGACATTTGGTGGAAATATTGTTGGAAATATTTGCTGGTCGAAAAGTGAAATAAAGTTGCAATTCCTGCAAGAGCTGTCAAAATGTTGCTGCAGTTGCTGCTGTTGCAGTGGCTGCTGTTTCTACTGCTGCAGTTGATATTGCAGTTGCTGCTGGGCTCGGCAACCTGCTGACTGTTGACTGCTGCCCGTCGTTTTCCCATGTGAATGCTTAACCGATTGCAAGTGCTTACCCTCTCGCCCCCGACTAACCCCTTTCCATTTTCCCTCCCCCCTTTTGCAGTCAACCTGCCTGATATTTTTACCAAAAACAATTTCGACAGTCGCGCATTTTTCACGCTGCCTCATTTGCAGCGATTTTCAATGCGATATTTTTTGCTGCCGCTGCCACCGATTGTTGTTGCTAGTTGCAGTTGTTGCATTGCTTGTTGTTGCTTGTTCACATAACCATAACTCCGCATGGCACCTCTACAGATTGTGCTGAGTTTTTCCATACCCTAATTTAAATTGGCATATGTTTTGGTTTGACTTTAGGCTTTTAAACTACTTAAAGGGCTTATAATTATTTTTAATGATTTTTTTAAGTAATTAATTGAAGAAACTTAGAAGTTGGGAAATATTTAATTTATAATTATATTTATGAGCTTTTGTTCCTTTTTATTTTATTTCTGTAAAATGTTTGTAAATTGTTATCTAAATTAAAAACCGATGGGAAATATGAATACTGAAATTTTTGATATAGAAAATATTAAATCAGATTTTGTATTTAAAAAATTTAATTTTGTAATTAATATTTTCAGTTTGAATTTATTTTTTTTCAGGGTATTTAATGGGCCATCAAAATTTTCTTCTTAGTTATTCCCTCACATATGCTGCTGGGCCCAGTCGACTTTTATTTCGTTTGATTTCCTCGCCTTCAGGATCGTGACACACCGCAATGGATGTTGCAACTGTTGACTGGCGACCGGCAACCAGAAATACTTGCGATTAGCTTGGCCTGGCCCTAAATGAAATCAGCGGCCATTGGAGTCATAAATGGCTGGCAAAACCTTTGCTAATATGTCATGAGCCCATCGACGGACGAGCGATGAACGCCGAGCGGGTCAGCGAGAAACATTGGGCAATTGGCATTTGTCGAGTATTCGAGTATTCGAGTGCCGTGGAGTACACGAGTACTATTTTGGGGTGTTATGCGCCATGTCATCGAAACCAGTTTACCGTTAGCACACATATGTGTCCCAACCAGTACAGTGGTGACCCATTAAAGCAATCAGCGGCAAACACATGTAAGTCAAGTGGCAAACAGCGGGGCACTGAGTCCCAACTTCGATTCCCGCCTCGTTTTTGGTTACGGTTGCGGCTCATTACGCAGTTCGCTTTGATTTGCATAGCGATTGAATGGAGTTAGCATAGCCGAAATGGAGTTGGCCCCTTGGGAGTTGGCCAGAAAGCCAGCCAGCCAGCCAGAGCCAGTCGACATTCGACAAACCCTCGATTTTCCCCCTTTGCCCGGCTGTTTGATTTGTGTGACATGTGCACAGAGAATTATTTGCTTATTGTTAAACATTTGCGTTTGAATAACTTGTAAACTGTCAGGGCAACACTGGTCGATTAACCCATCGCGGGTCGTAGTTGCTTTGGTTGTGGGAAATAAGTTAAGATTAATGAGTCTTGTAAAAGGGTTTTAGTGAATATTGAATTAAATGGGCCTTTTAGAATCATTCATTTATGCATGACTAAATAAAAGAAATACGTATTTTGAGGATTGTACATCTTAATTAATAACGAGATTCGGTGGGGACAAAATATATTCCTTAAATTAAATTTTAATGACAAACTCTTTAATTTAAATATGTTTAACAGATTTTTTAATATATGTTCTTATGCAGAGGAGGCTATATTTTCTTGAATTAAATATCTCGATAGAACAATAAACATTTTCTAGACTAACAAATTTCCAAAATTCAATGGATCAATGAGGTATCAGTTAAACAAAGAAGAAAATGTTGTTAATATATAAATTATTTTTATAATACATCACACTACGTATCAGGACATATCTTTTCGTTTTTCAATGGGTTAATGATTCCAGTTGGACATATAGTTAGCGTTATTGGCGACTGTCATATTCGGGCGGCATTCCTGCACCGTCAATAGTCGATTGTCGATTGTTGAGGCCAGGCAACCGGCTTATTACCGGCTGTATCAGATGGCCGGAGACACTGAGACACACGCCGCGTATGCGCAATGTCGATCCCATTGCATTCTCGGCCGTTTTTCGATTGCTTTATTGCATTTTCCAAACGCTGCCGCTGCTGTTGCTGCTGACCATGTCACATTCGCTTTTCGTCTCAATTGCAGTTGAAAGACAAATTGGGCACCCTTGGCAGCTTGGAATTTGACTTTTTGATTGACAACTGCAGCGATCAGCGATCGGCGATCGACAACAAAATCCAAGTAAAGCCGAAAAACCAACGATTGGTTTCGCAAAGCTCTAAAGTTCAGTTTATTAAACGTTTGCCTGGCTTTTTGGCGACCTCGAAAACAAATTCAATTATGCGAAAAAAGAAAAAAAATTTGCTTGCCGAAATTCGCGAGGCACCTACGCTGACTCCAAAGCAATTTGCCAACCGAAAAATAGCTGCGATGAAAACAAAACCCAAAACACGGCAGCAAAAAAAATAGCGACAAATATCAGAGTGTGACGGCAGGCCCGCTTAACCCCCTGACGCCCGATTAACCCACTCCCTTTCCAGCGAAGACGTCAATGCCAGACAAAAGCAACAAAAAGTGAGCGACAGCCAGGGAAAACGGGGCAAGTCTTCATCATTTCTCCTCTCTTTCTCTGGTGATCTCCCAAATAAAAAAGAAATCCAAGTGAAAATCAATTGCAGCTGCCAGAGAAAAAATGTTGGAGAGCTGGCTATTCTTTCGGTTTAGTTTCTTTCAGTTAACTCGTCAACTTCTCCGCTCTAAGCCAGAAAATCACAAACAGAAACTGTGACTGAGCGACGGACACTGAGCCAGCTGACGTTACAGGTTTTCAAATCTGGCACATTAATTTTAAAGACAAATGAAACGAAAATAATACAAGATGAAAGCCGGGCCTAGAGAGCAACGAAGTCAATATGCTCTAGCTGGAAGAATAGTAAAGAATAATAATAAATAATTTATATGGAATTTTTTTTTAAAGATATTTTTATAATATTGTATTAAAAAATATGTAATTATTCTGCTAAAAAATAATAATATATTTTTAAATCTTTTTTTTATTGAATAGAAAATATTTAAGAATATATAAAAAGTTCTCCTAATTCGAACTGTTTTATCGAATATCACCCAACTCCTAACCAAAAGCTAGGGTACCGATAACGGCTCACCTCGATGTGGATGGTGGACCACCTTGTGCGACCTTCTTTTCAGATGCCGACGTCGGGCAAAACAAAAATAAAAACAATAAAGCACAACAGCCGAAAAGCGGCAACAATTACCAGCAACAACATCGGCCAACGGACAGAGCCAACAGATAATAATGGCCAATAGTTTTACGAGTCGCCCGAACATCAGAGGCCGGGCTCAGAGTCTCAGAAACAAATACTCGATACTCGAATTTCAAAGCTTACTGCAAAGATCGCCAATGGCCAAGTTAACGTTAACGTTTGGCTTTACCTCAGTTTCAGTTTGAGTTTTAGCCATTTGAAAGTCTTGTGCGAAATGAGCGTCAAAAAGTCAGATGGCAGATGGGTGGGGGGATCCGGGAAGGGGCAATAGAGTCGATGGAGGCCTTTCCTTTTTGTTATTTTTGTACGTTTTGTATGTCACTTGCTGCGAAAGTCGCAAAAATGTAAGTTGAAAGTTGAACGGAGCGAGATGTTCACACCAGAAAGTAGAAGAGAGGGGCGCCTTTACCTTTGTATCATTAGCCTTGGTTTGGTTATCCCCCAGGAGGTCTATCGCTATCTGCTATTTTTAGGGCACACATGGGAATGGGAATCCCAATTTGATGGCTGGCAATTGACCGTAATTAAACATGGAGAAGTGAATGGATTATGAATGGTGTTGCGAAACGTCGGTAGAAATTACAAATATTACAAATTATTACAAATTTTAAGCTTTTTGAAATAAACGCAGGTATAACGCTACCGAATATTATATTTATTTATTTTACAAGCTGTTAGTTATTTATTTAAGAACGTTTATAATTACAAAACTCAAGCTGTTTACACAAGTCGGAATACATCATTAAGTTCACTAAGGCCAAAGACATAAAAGCCACTATATTTATGAATTTTGGTATCATTTTCTTGAGTACGTTCCTTTGTCTCTAGTTCTCTGACAAATGGATTGAAATGTACCGTTATCACTTGATTTTATAGGAAACGATGACTGGTCGCAAAACAAGGATTGTATAATAAATTCGCAAATATAAAAAGGTTGACTAATCAATAGGATGCGGGTTGACTAGTACATTTTTTGCACACACAACACATTTTTTAAATAAATATTATTAATAGCTTTAGGTAAGTAATTACGCCTTAAAGAAGTAAATGTATAACGAGTTGGGGAACCATTCATACAAGCAGAACGCTTTACATAATTAAAAAATTTCTCAATTCAAAATACTCAGAATCTGTTTATTAATTATTTCTACCAATCTTTTACAAATTTAAATAAATATGGATTAAGCTAAGTAAAGCTGCAGGCACAAACAGCAATAAGTTAACGTAGATGGGTAGCATCGTTAGTTTATAAGGAAGATTCCTGGTTTCTAGAGTTCTAGCAAATGTTTTGAAATTCATTTTTCCCATCCTATTTTATAGAATATTTTTAGAACATTAGTTCCATTATGTTTGACTAATCAGATTACCAAGAACTAATTTTTCAATAATCCGTACGTTATGGTTGATAAAGGTTGTGCAAGTGGATTTATTCAGGGAATCAGGAGTGTAAAACTACTATTGTAAAGCAAGTGGCTTCAAAGGCCAAAACATAAAGTCTATACACAACCAGGTATGCATTAAACATGAATGCTATTCAGTAGGTGAATGTTGAGTTTGTTAATGCCGTTTCCTCACTGATGTACAACTGTAGTATTTTTTCGGTATTCAAAAAAATGCTATTTCCTGTCCGCACGGGAAAGCATTTAGCATTCAGCATTTATTATTTCGAAAACAGATGTGCTTTGTATTTAAATTCAAAATATTCAATGCTAACAAAATGATCTTATTTTTGTCCTGTGTTTTCTGCTGAAAATTCAGAAACAGCTAGAGAAACAGCGCAAGCACGGAAACACAAAGGAAAGCGTTGAAAGCTTTTCATGAGGAAGACATTTTTCAAAACCTGAGAAATGGGCATAATTTCTCAAATACTAATCCGCAAGCAGGAGATTTGAACAATCAAATGTATTGACCATGGACAATAAAGATTTGAATGTTTTATTAAGCTTTTGTTTGCATTATATATTGCTATGCAATGCACATTAGATCTTTTTTTGGTATCATTTTATTGTTGATTTTGCAATCCTTCTGTGGTCTAATCGATATGGTGGTTTGTTGCCTCTTACTTCCTGTGACAAACCTGAGCGGCAAAAGATTGGTCAGGTTTTGTTAACTGCAGTTACTCGTAATTTTTTTTTCTGCAGAGAAATCATCTATAGAGGGCCTTGATAATTTCGAAAATTTTGCGATGGCCGTTTTGTCGGTAGTCAAAAAATACTCAGATATTTGGTATTTTAGGCACGAGAATATCAAAATGTAGTAGCATTTATTGTCGAATGCTCTTTTCTCTCACCTCTAGAACCACTTGAAAATATATGGGAAAAATGTAACATATACCAAAAAATGTCAAAATGCTACATTCAGCTCTGGTGAGGAAAGGGCATTAGTTTATAATCATTTGGACCAGAAAGCCAATCAAGAAGTAAGCAGGATTTTAAAATATATTTATTTATCTGTTTAAAATAAATTTAGGTTTTTAGGCGTGTATATTAAACATTGGCTAAGTGTAGCTTTTAAAGTAATGACTGAAGCTCAATGGTGCGTCTGAGAAGGGGCATTCCATTACCTGTAAAATTAGTCTTTGATTACCGAAGTCGGTTAATCAGAACTTAAGTTAGAAAATAAAAAAGTGTCAACAACTTTTTTACACTTAAAAAAATTGGTGCCGTACAAAAAATTATAAGTGCCCTTTGTTAATTAGGGTTGAACAACTGGGTAGAAGGAAGAGAGCGCTTCAAAAATCTACTCTTGTGTATCGGGCGTTGGGCGTACATTTATTCGGAAAATTACAGCTTCCCATCCTGAGTCAACCGCTACAATTTATACCGTTTTTGAAGCTCTTTGATGGCAGTTTGGATCCCCAAAGCCTCCAAAAGTATGCTGAGTAAAGCTGCAGGCACAAAAATCAATAGGTTAACTTTGATGGGTAGCATCGTCAGATTATATGTAAGATCCCTGCTTTCTAGAGTTCTAGGAAATGTTTTAAAAATCGTTTTACTCAACAGATTTTATAGAATATTTATGGAATGTTAGTTCTATTATGTTTGACTAATAAGATTATGGAGAAAAAATTTTAGTAAAATCAATACGATATGGTTAATATAAGTTGTTGGAATTATCCCGCCAATCAAGAGTGTAAAACTTGTTTGCTGTCTAGTAGGTGGCCGCAAAAGAAAAAGAAAAAAACATAAAATGTAGTAAATTGGAATTTAGAAAATTTAAAATGTCCTAACTCACCAGATTTTAAAACTTATTTCAAATGACATGGAATAGACGAACAGGTATGCATTAAACATGAAAGCTGTTCATTAGGTGCTTAAATGTAAGATAGTTGAACAATTGGAAAACAACTTAAGTTAAGAACATTTATTATCATTTGGAGAGACCAAGGAAGCCAATCAAGAAGTAGGCAGGATTATAAAATAGATTTATAGATTCGGAATGGCAGAAGGAATGCCATAGATTGATGGTCAATTAGAGAGATACATAAATAAGAGGATGCATTAGAGAGATAGACAGCTGGAAAGAGTAAAACTCCATTATCCATTTTCGCAAGCTGCAAACTCAATCATCGTCATCGTGGCCACATTCTGACTCTCTTCCCCCGCGGATCGCCCAACTTTTTTAACTCTTGTTCGACTGTGGCACAGATAATTTGCCATCAGCAGCGCCAAATGTAATCCGCCATATAACCGTCTAACGGTAACTCAAAGCCAACATAAATATGCGCAAAGCCAGCAACAACAAACACAATCAGCCGTACAAACAGTTGGCCATGTGTTGTTGTTGTTGTTGTTGTTGCCGGATTCGTTGTTGTTTTCGTTAACAGCTTCTACAATTTTTCATCCAAGTGCAGCAGCAACAATAACGGTGCACTGAGAGAAATGCATACGTGTTATTTCAATATTATATTTATATTTATTTTTAATAACATAATCTGGAAGTAAAAAATTTCCTGAACTTTTACAATATTTCTTAATTATCTCATTTAAATATGCAGTATTTTTTCCCGTGTAAGGGGGTACGAAAAAATGGAGGGAATGGTGCATTTTGAGGAGCCAAGCGATGCCAGGCAAACAAACAACTTCATGGGCGACGTGCAAAAATTCAATTGCTACAACGTCGACGTTGTCGTATGGTTGTTGTTTTCGTTGCTGTTGTTGTCAGCAGCAAATCACTGGCAAAATGCTCCCAGCTTCAACCTCAACTCGAATCTCGAGCCCCACTGCATCTCAGTTCCCACTCTCTCGGAGATCTTCATGATCTTCCCCATTCCGAGTCCCGTTCCCCTTCCCCTTCCCCTTCCCCTGCCCGTTCCGCCGCATATAGTATATACATATCTCTCGCCGGGGCTCGAGTTTTATGCATTTGTCAGGCCACACTTCGGCCTGCGTCGTCATCAAAAATAAAATATAAGAAAAAGCGCAAAAAATGTCAGTCAGTCAACGGCAGTTTGTTACTCCCCACTCGCTTCTCGAGACCCCGGGAAGCTCCCCTCCGAGCGCTTTCTTCCGTCACATTTGTCTGTTTTTCCATGCCCAAGACTCGGCCACTGCCTGCTTTCTGACAAGAGCTGAAATGTATCTTTCACCAAGCCTCAGTCAGCTAGAGATGACAGCGTGACTGAAGATCTATCTTTACTGATTTAGATCTCATGTCAGTTAAAGTTTTTATCAAACAAAGAGCACCATATTTCAAGATATAACAATAAGTCAGATTTAAAATGTATATTTTTGTTGAGTAGAATGTTTTTCATACCCATTTAAGATGTTAAAATCAATTTTTAAAATAGTAGATCATAACAATTCTTTTACTTAAATAGAAAAATGGATAGATCTTTAAGATTGCGGCTTTGAACTTGGCTTTAAAATACCAATATTCCCTTTTCTAACAACAATGGGTGCCTCCTCTCTGCACAATATATCGATTACGGACAATCTCCTTCACTTATTCCCTAGCCCTATTAGTTGGCTAATATGATAATAGTCCATACATGTGTCTGAGCCCGGGTTCAGACATCTCCTGAGAAAGCTGGTTCCCGATCTCGATGCACTGGCCAGGCCGAACTGTATAACCCTCAGATCCCCACCATTTCCTCACCCCACAACCCCATTCCCCATCCCATCCTTGTTCTCACTGTGATGGAAAACCATTTTCTCTACAACTCCAATCGACGCTCCACTTTTTTGTGCTTTTTTCCTACGCCGTTGTTTTGGTTTTCTGCTTTTTTTTTCGTTGTTGTGTGTAGCTAACATTTTTTATGCTCCAACTCCAACTAAACAATCAACTTTTCAAACTGTTTTTTCTTTCGCTGCCCCCCCGCCACTCCGCGCCCCTCTATTTTTCTCTGGCTATTGCTTTTCCTATTTGCTGTTGGCTGCACTTTTTGACGGCTTTTATTGTTTGCCAATTTCTGGCCCCCGAGACCAGCGAAGCATTCCATCCTCGTACACTATACACTATACCATACCATTCCGCGACGCACTCTTTGCCTCTAATCCAGCACTCACCACCGGCTTCCCTCCTGCTCTCAATTGGTTGGGGCACACGTGGAAAAAACTATAGTTAAAACTTTACAATATTTCACTGAAACTGCAATAAGATTTCCTGTGGTGCAAAGGATTAAAGTCTCTAAATGCAAAGCTAAATTGAAATACAAATTTTTATTTCCTTAAATATTTAAATATAATTTAAAATGATTAAAGGTTTTAGGTATGTACATTATATATTAAGAAGTTACTAATCATTAATCCATTTTAAGGACTTCAATTTAATAAAACCCGATTTATTTATATTTATTTTAATATTTTTCTCTATTCGTTATAAGTTTCTTGCAGTGCAGTCCTCATGGCATCGCAACCATTGTAAATCCGCTAGGCAGTTGAGGAAGCGTTTTGTTCGGCTTGTTTGCCGATCGAAGAAGGTTCGCTGACAGACGGAGAAAGAGCGAAAAAGCGGGGATTACCAGAGGTACTCTTCCAGATGGAAATTGAGGAGGGAAAAGGGGTTTTCTTGAGATTCTGCTCGTTGTTCGTTTGCCTGCACTTTTCTCCGATCCCCTTCTATTTATTATTGCCCATTCATTTGACTTATTCTCACTGATCTCCGGCTCCAGAGCAGGGAGAAAGAGCGAAAGAGACGGAGGGACTGGGAGAAAGAGTCTCGCTCTGCTTGCAAATCGAATTGGTTTGACTTGGATCGGCTGGCTCGATTTAGATGGCATGTCTGGGCATTTGTTGACGTAAATTGGCATTAACCTTCTCGCTGACCTCCTTCCGCACTGCACATTTAAAAGTTTGCCGAGGGAAAGGCAAGATTTGGTTACTGCAATTTATTGATTTTTTATGGGCCAGTTCTACTTTTAAAGAATAAATCTCGAGATCTTTATAGTCAAGTTGCGTTACTGGGGGATTCGCCAAGGTGATGCAATGTGGGGTTTAAAGTTCATGGAAGATGTGCATCCGTAAAATAACTGTACTCAACTGGTATATTTTTTATAACGCTTTTGGCTAGTTTTAAACTTAAGTCTTATTAATAATCTTTGTTAAAAATGTTCTAGGGATTACTTATTATTCTGATGTTGAATACGTGTTTTGTACAAACATTTTTTCTTGGTCGATATTGACAGACAGTTTTTAGGGGAAACTTTCCATAATGACAATTGTCTGTTTATCTTTTCGATCAATTTTAGCAAAATAATGTGAATCCGGTTTTTAATTAAAGGTAGGAGGTAAACTAACTAACCTAGACAAAAAACGTTTTGTTAAATACTCTTGCTTTTCAAACTTGTATATATTGAGTTATATTTTTCAAACTTTTTCACACTATTTATGTAAGAAAAGTTTAGAAACTATACGCAAATATATAATTAATAAATTTTACAATAAAATCATGTCTGCAATGATTTTTAGAACTGGTTTACGGAGCGCCAAACCAAATCCCATTACGCATTAGATTTCAAAGTCTTAGCAAAATCGGTTT